CCTTCTCTCCAAGAACTGTACTTATCCAGAGTGAGCAAAAGGGCTGGCAGAATCACTCTGGATCCCTCACATCCAGCACACTCCCTCTTTGAACTGTTGCCATCTGGTCGACGCTACAGAGCACTGAGCACCAGAACGGCCAGACACAGGAACAGTTTCTTCCCTCAGGCAATCCATCTCATGAACACTTAACAATAACTGTAGAACACACACTATTTATACACTCATACACTTATTTATCTAACACTCATACTCAGTCTACACCTCAAATTTCCACATAAAATACAGTACCTGTACATACAAAAACTGTCTATTGTAATATACCTGCACATACAATTGTCGATTTATATATTTTTATTCCTTATTTACTTGTTCTATTTTATTTATTTTATTTTGTGTGTTTTTTGTTCTGTCACTGTCATTCTGTTACACTGTGGAAGCTTCTGTCACAAAAACAAATTCCTCGTATGTGCAAACATACCTGGCAATAAAGCTCATTCTGATTCTGATTTATTTATTTTGTTTAAGTTCAGAAACCAGTCTGATACCTGTGGAAGAAGGGATGTACTGGCATCGGTGAAATAAAACTTGTAAATGGATATTGCCTCAAGGTGTTTTAACTGACATCCCATTGTGATGCTCCCCCTACGAATAAGCAGTATTGCAGCGATTGGCTTGTGCTATTGGACACAGTGTCACAATGAACAAAGAGGTATCATGGCTTAGGGCTTCCTGGGAACTCAAATCTCCTTTCACATGTTGGGAACTATAGGCCCACTAGCCAAGCTTATAAACTCAAGAAGTAGGGAGGAGGAGCAAAACAGCGGGATCAAATCCTCAGCTTAATTAGAAACCATCATACAACCTATCTATTGTAATATTCATCATGGGATTACATGAAACAGTCTGCCTAAAACTTCCATTTACAGTTAGACTAGAAACACTAAAATTGGTTACAAATAATTAAAATGAATGAATTAAAGTTAATAAAAAATTGTCAGCGTTGAAGTGTTGTCAGTATCTTGAATGTTACTGGACCACAAGGTCATATGCACACTGAGGAGAGATAATGCCTTTTGCCATGTATGTGTGGATTATAGGCTAAAGAGGGTTGAGAAGTCACTGCTTGGATTCCCAGCCTGCCCCTCCTTTCTCTTCTGCTCGTTCCTTATCTCTTGCTGTCTCTCTCTCTTTGTAAATCTGCCTATTCCCAGTAAGACCCAGGACTCAGAGAGGCTCTTGTTCCAGTGGCTTCCCCCATTAGGCTCTCCAGATTGGGCCAGGACTCAATCAAATAGAGGGCCTCCAACCTCCAGGGACCACAAACCAAAGATCAACTCTTCATTTTAAAAAGAGAAAGGTGGATTTCTACATCTACATTTTTTTTATACTATTCTTTCCAAAGACGATAAGACAAAGGTCTTTAAAAAAAAAGCTGTCTCTTCCCCACCTTCGATCTGGACTTTTACATTTTTAATTTGGAATTTGTTATTTCTTATTACTATTTCCTCCCTGGAAGTGCTGTTCTGGTCCCCCTCTGGTTCTTCTCAGACTCTCTGTGTTCTAATGGGACGAGTACTCGCCATGGCTCTCAATTAGCCACACTTACCAGGTTAGCCGATCTTTTGCTCTTTTACTAACAATTCTTCATTAAGGGTAAGAGTAGTTTTCAATATTGAATTTGCTAGAGTAGTGCCTGAGGCTTAGAGGAATAGGACTTCCCTGAGGGATACATTCACTAACATTCAAATATATGGGTCTTTGTCGATAAATAAATATTATTGAAATAGTATTGTCCATTTAATGTAATGCCAAAACAATTGCCAGTTTAGTGGTCTTTAGTGTTAATGGTAAAATAATGTGACATCACAAAGTTACAATAACTTGATTGAAACAAAATGTGATCCAAGATCAGGTCATGAGATTCAAGCAGTCATTTCAAACAACAAACGATCAACTAACACTGGCACATTTATATAACAGGACATCCCCTTTGAAAAAAATGAACTTAATCTAAAACACTTATTAGTAATCTTTTTAGTAGTGAGGAATATCTGGAGGAATATCTGTCATATCACAGTAGCTGTATTTCTAGATTTACATATTTAAGTACTGCAAGGCAATGCAATCTTATTTACATAGCACATTTCATACACAACGGTACAAATTAAATATTTACACAGATTGTGAAATTCCTTTAGCTGATGAAACCATTTTGCTGTAATGTCGTACATAAAAACTGACTGACTGAGTAAATGGGGGGCTGTGTGGTGTGACAGTTCTCTAATATTGCAGACAGTAAGGCTCTCAAACAAAGGTGTAGCGTGAGTCTGACAGCAAGGTCCCGTGCAATCCTCTGTAATCCTGAGTTATTTCAGAGCTGGCTAAAAGTCCAAAGAATGAGAGTAAGCCAGACCTAGTGGTTAAGAAGTGAGGGATAGACGGGACATTTTTACAGAATGATAAAGACATGAATTAGAGGGTGAAGAACACAGAAAAACATTAAAGAACAAAAGGCTTTTGACAGGTCAGTAGAGTGATGATGGTGTAAAGAGATAAGGTTGATTAAGATTAAGATTGATTAAGCCTCACGTTATTTGGCAGTTATTATGGCCAGGGCTAATGGAGGCAGAGCTCTTTAATTGTAATCTGCTTGCTGCTTGCTGAGCAATGGATAGAGGGAGGGAGGAATGGGCAGACAGCCTGGTACAAGTCGTGTGACACTTCACCCCAGCTCCACCTTTAAACACCAATGGCACATGAGTCAGGTGACCAGGCCTGTATTTTAGGTCTAGGATCACAGTGGGAAGGACAGGATGGTAAGAGGGTTGAAGAACAAAACTCTTATTAGCAAACAACATTTAATTATTTAATTGAGAATTGCCTCTTAAAGAAGTAATAGATGTCATTCTATTAAAGAAAACATTATATTATTTTATTAAAATAAACAAATATGAAAAATATATTTTATCTGTTAATCATATGTCACAATGTAAGATGTAAAGAATTTAAGTCACAATGTAAGATGTACAGTCACAATTAGGAGAAATAAAGTCCTAATACTTTTTACTCTGAGGCAGAAATGGGCTTCTGTATTTTTCTGTACAACAGGAAAAACAGATCTACTCATTCATTTTATTTATTTTTTTTATCTTTAATTACACTGCTATTTGAAAGTTTGGGGTTGGTAAGATTTTATGATGTTTTTGAAATAATTTTGTTATGCTCATCAAGGCTGAATTTATTTGAGTAAAAACAGTATATTGTGAAATATTTTTGCTATTTAAAATAACTGTTTTCTATTTTGATTCATTTTAAAATGTAATTTATTCCTGTGATGACAAAGTTGAATTTTCAGAAGCCATTACTCCAGTCTTCAGTGTCACATGATCCCCCAGAAATCATTCTAACATGCTGATTTACTGCTCAAGAAACATTTTTTATTGTTATCAAAGTTGAAAACAGTTGTGCTATTGAACATTTTTGTGGGAACCATTAAACTTTTTTTTTTAACGATTATTTGATGAATATTATTTTTCTAAATATACTTTTTTTGTAATAATGTAAATGTCTTTATTGTCACTTTGGTTCAATTTAATGCATCCTCACTGAATTACAATATTAAAATGTATTAAGTATTAAAGAAAAAAATAGTTTAAAAAAATCTTACTGACTTTTGAAATGCAGTATAGATCTATTGACCTTGGTACCATAATCAGTTATATGAGCCTGATGCTGATGTTTGAGCCGATGTTACACTCTCACATCACTACTGCATATAGTAAACTACGGTAAAAAGAGATGCAATGTATTGTGTATTAATATTCCCATATAAAAATCCTAACTTTGTCTTTTTCTGTTCTGTTTTCATCCCTTTTCTTTTTCCCCTCTTTTCCTCTCCATCTCTAAAACAGACAGTGATGGCTGGTTATTGTGCAATAGTTTTGGGCTAGTGCCCCTCAGTGGGTAGAACCCAAATCGAGAGCTGGGTGTTTTGGGTGTGTTTTTTATCAGCCTTTATACTGTCGCTAACCAAATATTCACACAATACAGGACAACACCTTTCAGTGCCACCTGCTTTTCATTGTCCCAGATAATTAATAGTAAAACAAAAATAAAATGGATGACCACAGAAACTCTAGCTTTTTTCGCCAGTCCCACCACCCACGATGGCCACAGTCTAGTGCTGGAAAGAGACAACGAAAACAAAAAGCGAAAAAACCTGATGGCTCATTGTGTCCTGTGTCCTCGACCCCAGTGCTACGCAGCTGCAGCTGGTGGGGCAACTGTTTTCTCCTTCCTCTAGTCATGCTATCATACTTGCCCTGTGAGGCCTGGGGCACCACCTTCAAAATCGCCATTGTAGGACCGTGGGCATGTGACCCCATGTACTCCAAAGCCCTGCCAGATTTGGCTGCACAGTTAGCCATGAGCCGAATAAACAAAGACCCCGACCTCAACAAGGGCTACTGGTATGATTACACACTAATTAATGAGGATTGCTCCAGCTCGAAAGCCCTGGCACGCTTTGCTGAGCTGGAGGGCTATGGTTCGGCCTTGCTTGGACCGGCAAACCCTGGCTACTGCACTGCTGCTGCGCTGCTGGCAAAGAATTGGAACAAGGGCATCCTGTCCTGGGCTTGTCTGAAGGCTGACATGGATGAGGGAATGTATTCCACCTTCCTGCGGCCGCTCCCGTTGTCTTCTCGTGTGCTCTTCTCCGTTCTGCGCTTTTTCCGCTGGGCACATGTTGGGATTATAACAGCGGAGAACGACATGTGGGAAGCGACTGGGCATGAACTGGCAGCTTCTCTGCGTGCCCTTGGTCTGCCAGTAGGTGTGGTTGTTACCATGGAAATGAACAAGGAAGGGCCACGGCGAGCCCTAAAGACAATACGGGAGACCGATCGAGTGAGGGGTGAGTTCTATCACACTGTAAAAAAAGATTCCGTAAAATTTATGGTATAAAAACAGCAGCTGTGGTTGCCAGAATTTTACCGTAAAAAATACGGTAGCAACATTTTAGGTTTTATGGATTCAACTTAAATTTACATTTAAATACTGTAATTTCATTAACTGATATAATGTTAATATACCAACCTATTGACGTACTGAAATCTGTTTTGTACCTTTGTAATACAATGATGACCACCAAATGCAGGTGGTGATGAGAAAGTCACATGATGAACCAAAGCCCATCACAAGCAGCTTTTAAATATTAACATATATAGAAGGTGCACAGAAACATTCACACAAATAACTGATAAGAAAAAACTAAGAAGAAACAGTTATTTTAACAAAAAAAAAACATCAAATTGGAAATGTAACGCAGGGAATTCTGTGAATTTACGGTTGTACTTATTCTTATTCAATTCCAAATACAGTATACTACCATAAAATTACATGTAATGCCCAATACAGTTATTCACTGTATATAGTAGGGGAACTTACCGTTAACCATTTAACAGGTTTTTACTGTAGCATTTTTACAGTTAAATTCACGGCCATTTTTTACAGTGCAGTTATGTTTGAATTATGTTTTAAAATGTAAATATGAATTTAAAATGCTCAGCAGCACTGAAACTGGTGAAGAATTTTGACATTTAAGGCTTCAATTTAACAAAAAATGAGAATTAAAAAAGACGACTTCAGTGGTTAGTGGTTTAAGTTAATATGATCTGCTTCAACATCCTTAGATATACTGAGATTAAATTATAATTAAATCTATAATTACTGTTTGAGAATGTAGTAATGTAGTAAAGAAATCTATAGTAATTCATTTAAATAATTTTTAAATTATACTTATTTTTATACTTAATTATTTTTTTATTAAATATTTAATTTTATTTAAATAATTAAAAAAATGTAAATGCAATTTTAGTGTCCTTTTCCATGAGAATGATATCCAAATTAGGGCAGGGACTTTATAAATATTAATTTGTTATATCTATTTGTGTAATATCTCTCATTGTGTTTTAATAATTATTAATCATTTTATTTATTCCTCAGTCCTCTTTGCACATTCCCACTTTCTTATTCCTCCCTCTTCTTTTTCTGTGTGCAGTTGTCATCATGTGCATGCACTCTGTTCTGATTGGTGGAGAGGAACAGTATCAGTTGCTAACCACAGCATTGGACATGAGAATGATTGACCGAGGGTACATCTTCATTCCATATGACACCCTCCTGTATTCACTGCCATATAAAAATGTGAACTATCCAATCCTGACCAATGACACCAAACTGCGACGAGCATATGATGGGGTCCTGACAATAACCATGGACCAAGGGGAACAAAACTTCTATGAGGCCTTTAGTGCAGCGCAGGAATCCTATGACATACGTACCAGCACACCACCTGAAGAGGTAACTGTAATTGGTCTGAACTTGTCTTAGTGTTTACAACTAGGAATCATTTTAAACTAGAAATACAGGGAAGGGGATAGGAAAAGCTATGTAGAAAACATCTTTTTCACAGTAGAAATCTGTGCTCTGCATTTAACCCATTCAAATGCACACACTCAGCAGTGAGTAGTGAACACACACACACTGTGAACACACACCTGGAACAGTGGGCAGCCATTTTTTGCTGCGGCGCCCTGGGAGCAATTGGGGGTTCAGTGCCCTGCTCAAGTACACCTCAATCATGGATATTGAAGGTGGAAGAGAGAGCTGTAGATTTACTCCCCCCCCCCCCCCCCCCACCTACAATTCCTGCCGGTACTGAGACTCGAACCCACGACCTTCGGGTTACAAGTCCAACTCTTTAAACATTAGGCCACAACTAAAACTACTACTAAAAAAACCTACTAAAACTTTTCTTATTTGATTACATTTTCTTAGAATGAGAAATAGCTTAGAATCCAATTAAGATTCATAATGTTTTTTGTTCCATTTTTGAGGATTTTGTTTTTCTTGGCAGGTTTCTCCATTCTTTGGGACCATCTATAACATGCTCTATTATACAGCCAAGGCTGCAGAGCAGAGCCGAGTTGCGAGTGGAGGGCGCTGGGTATCAGGAGATACACTGGTTAAAAATGACGGCGGGTTTGAATTCAATGGCTTTAACCAGCGGATATCGGCAGGTACCGATGGAGAAGGAATGCAGGCCCGCTACGCTGTCCTGGATTCAGATGGCTCTGGGTCCAGCCTACACCGCACGCACGCCCTGGAAGCATCGCACACATATGGGAAATATGGAGGGTTGAAGTACCTGGGGAAATCGATTCATTTTGCTGGAGCGTCTCCGAGCACTGACTCAAACTGTTGGTTCAGTCCTTATGTCCCTTGTAGTGGAGGTGAGAAAGCAAAAATTCTTGTACCACATACATTTTATTAGCTACAATATATTTCGCCACTGATTCTGTCTGTTGTTCTTTTCTTTTCATTGCAGGCTTGGATGGAGTGACCATTTTCCTCCTTCTTCTCTTGTTCTGTGTGTTTATAAGTGGAGCAGGTGTATTATTTCTCCATTTAAGGTATGAATTGAATTGGTTGAGTCGCAACAAACCACCTTGTATTGAATATGTTTATTGTATTACTGATAAACAAATAAGCATATCTGTGTATGTGTGTATGTGTCCAGGAAACACGGGATGGGGATATTAGGAGCATTTGGTGGAGGAGGAAATGGAAGCCCCACTAAGATAATACTGACACTGGATGACTTGGTCTTCATCAACACCACACTCAGCAGGAGGGTCAGTCATTAATGCTATCTCTCTCTGTCTTGCTCATAGACTTTATCTGTGTCTCTCTCACTGTCCAGTTCTCTCTCTCTCTCTCTCTGTCTCTGTAGAATCTGAATGAGGAGAGTATGGTAATAATTTAAATGAATTGAATATAATTTTAGTTGTGTGATCTGCTGCAAGTGTGATGATACTAAATAGGACAGGAATGAGTCTCTTTATAGAACTTACTCTCTCACTCTCGCTCTTACTCAGACGTTTGTCTATGTCTCTCACATTCTCCATTTCTCTCCATTCTTTCTGTAGAAGCTGAATGAGGAGAGCATGGTGAAGAGTCAACTAGATGTTAAAACCCCTTGCCACTCAGTTTCAGGACGGAGTTACATTGCGTCAACTCCTGAAACGTCCAACGTTGCTGTATTTGAGGTGTGTGAAATTTGTGCTTTTTTGTGTACAGACATAGATACACTTTGTTAAGTTGTTAGCATAGTGTTTTGGTACTACTATATGAAGCAATATCACACAACGAAAAGTGTGAATTTGTACTGAATACCAGAAGGTGAAAACAGTCTGGTATTCAGTATTGTGCTGATATTCAGTACAAAAGCATGATTTCAAGTGTGGTACACTCTTAAAAATAAAGGTGCTTCACGATGCCATAGAAGAACCTTTTTGTCTAAATGGTTCCATAAAGAACCTTTAACATCTGAAGAACCTTTCTGTTTCACAAAGGGTTCTTTGTGGCGAAAGAAGGTTCTTCAGATTACAAAAAGGTAAGAAAGAGATGGTTCTTTAAAGAACCTTTGACTGAATGGCTCTTTGTGGAACCAAAAATGGTTCTTCTATGGCATCGCTTGAAGAACCTTTTGAAGCACCTTTATTTTTAAGAGTGTATTGCTCTTATAAAACAATTCCATAAACAATAAGTTAATAGGAAGTAACGTTTCAGACAAAATTCAACCAGTTAGTTTCTGTATAATTGTTCTCCAACAATGAATTGCAAGATAAAATAAAAGTCTGTGCAAGATAAAAAAACTTAAAAAAGGCTTCAGTTCTGGCTTCCTCTTTTTTTTTTTTTTTTTTTTTTTAGCAATTTTGCAAGTTTATAATTCACAATTTGTATAATTCTCCTAAGAATTGCGACTATATATCACACAATTGTCAGTTCTAAACTCAGTTTTAGAAAACATCTTGAAATTCCGACTTTTTTCTCAGAATTGCAAGTTAAAGTCTGAATTGTGAGACATAAACTCTGAACTGTGAGATACAAAGTTGCAATTACCTTTTTTATTTTTTATTCAATGGAGAAAACAAGCTTCCATTAGGTTTTCCATTTCTTGCTCCACGCTCACTAATAAAAACAAAAGCTCATTTTTCGGCTTTTAAAAACCTGTTCATCACTGCAGGCAAAATACACTAACAGTCAAATTAGAGTAGTACAGCATAAAGTAGCCTGTATATTAATATGAACAACATACAGCTATTGTTTGTACATCAGATGTTGTGGAAAAGTATTAATACTGTACAGAACTTGCAGAAAGCTGTGCAGAACTTTCACAAAATTCTACATATTCAATAAAACAAAAGTATGAATAAATGTGCAATACTCTAAACTCTATTTAAACCATTTATCTTATTTAAATGCATAAAATTCGGTGTGGAAACGTTGAAAAACAAGTTAATCAGATTATGTGTGAGCCTGTGGAGATGTGTTCAATTGTATTATTCTGTGCTGTCAGGGTGACTGGGTCTGGCTGAAGAAATGCCCCTGTGGAGATTCTGTTTCAGAAATCAGTGACAGCACTCAGGCTGTCTTTATCCAGGTAAGAGAGAAGTGAATGAAGTGAATGAAAGTTAATAATTCATTGTTTAGCTTACAAGTTGTGGACAAGTTTTGAAACAAAAAACTGAACACTGCACTCACCTTCCCATCCTGTCTTCTGCACCTCTTTTTCTTTTTGTTGCTTCTGCTTGTCCTCCTCTTCTCTCTTTCTAGCTGAGAGACATGCATCATGAGAATCTGAACCTGTTTCTGGGTCTGTTCTTGGATACTGGCATATTTGGCATTGTTACGGAGCATTGCACCAGAGGCAGCCTGGAAGACCTGCTCAACAACGAGGAAATGAGACTGGACTGGATGTTCAAATCCTCTCTTCTCCTTGACCTGATCAGGGTGAGGAGTTTAGGGTTGAATGAATGCATAGATGAACGGATAAGTAATAACAGCTCAGTAAGAAGATGAAGATATGGATGAAAATGTGGTAAAGAGTGACTGGCTGTTCACTAATAAACTTGTCAAAGATGTCACTTTCCTTCTAAGGCCTTTTTTTAATCTTTCCCTGTCAGGGAATGAAGTACTTGCATAATCGTGGGATTATTCATGGACGCCTGAAATCAAGGAACTGTGTGGTAGATGGTCGGTTTGTTCTAAAGGTTACGGATTATGGCTTCAGTGAAATCATCAACTGTCAAAACATCATCCTGGAGGACACCACACCAGAGGGTACGTGTAATATATGTGCAAATTGCTAAATCATGAGATGAGAAACATGACATAGAAGTTCTCATCTCCTCTTGCTTTTTTTAAAATATATTCAGTATTTCTGATCGCCTCTGATATCTGTATCTTTGGTACAGATCAATTCTGGACAGCTCCAGAGATCCTGCGGGATCCTAAACTGAAGAAGATGGGGATGTTTGCAGCTGATGTATACAGCTTTTCTATTATCATGCAGGAGGTGATCTCTCGCTGTGCGCCCTTTTGCATGTTGGATATGCCTCCTGAAGGTTAGACACTCTCATATACCATTATATAATCACATACCATTCGGGTTTTCACCTAGTCAGTGGAAAAACTAAAGGTGGCAATGATTTAATGGAGTTGGTTTGGAGCAATTCAGATATGGATACAGTGTTCTAAGTCATGAATGCTCAAGTTGTGTATCTCTGTGTGCAGAAATCATAGATAAGGTGCGCAGTCCTCCACCGCTGTGCCGACCCACTGTGTCTGTGGATGAAGCGCCGCTGGAGGTTATTCAGATCATGAAGCAGGCCTGGAGTGAGGAGCCTGACAAGAGACCCACGTTTGAGGAGATCTTCAGACAGGTGCACTCTCTTTCTCTCTCTCAAGCACACACACACACATACACGAGACATGTGTCTGAAGGTCTTCACACTGCTACACATCACTTTACACACACACACACACACACACACACACACTATATAAAATATGCAGGGGAAAAACAAAAAAAATCTAAAAAAAAAAAAAATACTTTTTCCTAACTTGCAGTTTAAGAATGTGAACAAGGGCAAGAAGACAAATATAATTGACTCAATGTTAAGGATGCTGGAGCAGTACTCCTCAAACCTGGAGGATCTGATCCGAGAGAGGACTGAAGAATTAGAGGTCGAGCGTCAGAAAACAGATGCTCTTCTAGCCCAGATGCTGCCCAAGTGAGTCCTACTTCAGATGTTTAGATTGCTTTTCACATTTCTTTTGTTTGTTATAATGCCATTCTGTCTTTCAGATCTGTGGCCTTGGCATTAAAGACAGGGAAGCCAGTGAAGCCGGAGCACTTTTCAGATGTCACGCTGTATTTCAGTGATATTGTGGGCTTTACCACCATCTCTGCTCTGAGTGAACCTATCGAAGTGGTCGATCTGCTTAATGACCTCTACATACTTTTTGATGGAATCATTGCGATCCACGATGTCTACAAGGTTTGCATAAGCTTTTTTTTAATCTTTCTTTTTTACTGTTGTGGAAATTGAGTAGGTTTTTTTATGATCAATGCTGATCTCAGAAAAAAAGCAACAAAAGCTGTCACTGGGTGGTACCCTTTCAAAAGGTACACCTTTGTGCCTTACTTAGCATTAAAGGTTCATATTTGTGCAGTAAAGTTGCATATACCTAAAGTGTACATATGAGTATCTAAATGGTACATTTTAGTAACTTTTGAAAGGCTAACACATCCAATGACAACTTTTTAGAGTGATCTTTAAGTGAATTATTTGATGAGACATTCTTTTAAAGATTTTTATCTTGTGAATAAATTAACACAATAAATGACTTATGTAATATTACATAATTTGAGATAATATAGCGCATACAAACAGTTTTGCATTTTGCAAGAAACATTTTATGTGATACATATCAACAGGTAGAGACTATTGGTGATGCGTACATGGTGGCATCAGGGGTTCCAAACCGTAACGGTAACCGTCACGCAGCAGAAATGGCCAACATGTCTCTGGACATTCTGCACTGCATCGGAACATTTCAAATGAGGCACATGCCTGACGTCAAAGTCAAAATCCGCATTGGACTCCATTCTGGTAAGAATCGCACAAAGCATACAAACACGTAAACAAAGAACATTCAAAAGTTTGGGGTCTGAAAGATCATTTTTAAAAATGTTTTTATAGAAGTCTCTTGCTCTTTATTTGATCAAAATAATTTCTGTTTTACTATATGTTAAAAGGTCATACATTACTGTGCTAGTAAAGCTGAATTTTCAATATCCATTACTCCATTACTCCAAAATCAGTACATTCAGAAATCATTCTAATATGCTAATCAGTGTTGAAAACAGTTACTTTTGTTGGAACTGTGCTACATTTTTTCCAGGATTCTTTGATGGCTAGAAAGTTTAAAGGGGTCATATGATGCTGCTAAAAAGAACATTATTTTGTGTATTTGGTGTAATGAAATGTGTTTATGCGGTTTAAGGTTAAAAAAACACATTATTTTCCACATACTGTACATTACGCAGCCTTGAGTGAGAGGAGGCCGGAGGCCTAGAGTGAGCCGCAGCCTAGGTTGAGCGGAAGCCGGCTTGAGTGAGCAGAAGTGGGTGGGCTTGAGAATGGCGCGGCCGGCGGGCTTGCGGCAACCACATGTGACGACCCCGGGCTGGACTCCGCTTCATCCACGGTGAAAGCCAATCCGGCGATCCACAGCGCAAAGTTGATGTATTTCCTCAGCGACCGGCACAGTTAAGCTCTAGGCATGACGAAGCAGATGTCGTCCTCTAACAAAGTAGTTCCGCTTTCACAACGAAACACACTGTCTCCACGGCATGGCGGCAGCGGCAACAATACTAAAGCGAGAATAAAAGTTATGCCTTCTTTCTTTGCGTGCACATTTGGGCGGCGTTATGCAAATCTTCCCACATCCTGACGTAGACATGTGGGGGCGTGTTAGAACGAGCCCTTTTAGGTAGGCGTGGTTGACTCTTAATTTTTATAAAGAATATCTCTTTGGATTTGAGACTTTAGTCTTTGCAACTTTACAGATCTTCTTTATGCACCAAGAGCTTGTAACACTCCAAAGAGAAATGAAAAATTTTAATCGCATCATATGACCCCTTTAAAAGAGTTTTTCTTTGAAATAGAAATCATTTGTAACACTTTTAAAGTCTTTACTGTCACTTTTGATCAATTTAATGCATACTCTAACTATGCATATACTGCTGAATAAAATAATTTATATATAAAAAAAGGTCTTAATGACCCTGAACTTTTGAATGACAATTTTCATAATGCATGTAGCTGCGTTTAAACTCTGTAGCAGCCTTGTAATCCTATACATCTAACAAAGCCATAAGAGAGCCAGTATTTTCATATTATGTCAAAAGTACAGTTAAACCAGTTTGTCCAAGTGCTTCACGCCCTTAAATGAAAAGCATCATCTCACAAAGTTAAAAATCAAACACATAATTTCACCCCTGGATGTAATGTTCATTGACAAAGATGGTCTTGTCTTATACCACCAATATTGTGCTAAATGTAAAAACATATTTACACTTGATCCTCTGATGGCTGTGTATTCCTAGAACAAGTGAAATGTAAATCCTGGGCATCATCCAATTAACAGATTCATCCAATTAGTTAGCACGCCGTTGGCCCTTTCCCCCACCCTACAACTCAACAGAGATCACATGGTGCTCACACAGGTGTGACGGACACAACATGTAATTCTATGCGGTTGCTAATGTGCTAACTTACTATTCATGTGTATGTGACAGGCCCAGTGGTAGCAGGTGTAGTTGGGTTGAAGATGCCTCGGTACTGTCTGTTCGGGGACACAGTAAACACAGCCTCCCGAATGGAATCCACAGGGTTGCGTGAGTACACTTATGTGTTTCATATGCATATACATCAGCACGTGTCTCATAGTAACAATCTAAACGCTTGTGGCTGTCTCTGAAGTCGTGATTCCAGGAATTTGTCTTTGGCTAAGGATCAGTTTGAGGACTCGGTGGTTAGTACTTTGTGTGTGTGCTGATCAGTGAGTGCATGTCAGTGAGAAGCTCAGAGGGCTTAAAGTGCAGAGTTCCCTGTAAGCTCTTAAGAGTATAAGCCAAATTAGAAAGAAAATTCTGCTTTAAAGCTAATGTCCTCTTAGACATCACCCTGAACTGTCTCACCTTTAATCAGAGCTTGTGCCACATTTATCCCAGAACATTTACTTCACCTTTAGAACACGTTTCATATTGAAGAATATGGAAGAATGTGTGAAACATGATTACAAGTTGCCAATGCCTAAAAATATACACTGTCGTTCTAAAGTTTGGTTAGTACATTTTTAATGAATACTTTTATTCAACAAAGTGACAGTAAAGACATTTATAATATCACAAACATTTTCTATTTCAAATAAATGTTGTACTTTTTGAAATTTTCCATCCATCAATAAATCCAGGAAAAATGTATTACGGTTTCCACAAAAATATTAACCAGCACTACTGTTTTCAACATACTAATGTTGAGTAATTGTGGCTGAAAATTTAGCTTTGCATGAATTAATTAAATATTTTAATATATTAAAATAAAAAATAATATTTCATAATATTACTGTTTTACTGTATTTTTATCAAACAAATGCAGATTAGGAGGCTTTTTTCCAAAAATCTTACCGACCCCAAACTTTTGAATTGTAGTGTAAATTTTAGAGTTTAAATACCTCAAAATTATTATTATAAATATTATATTGTAGACTTTTTTTCAAATTTGGTTTCAAATGAATTTTAAATGAAATATTTGATGTTTTCATAGATTAGGCCACAAAAACAATCACACATCTAGTGCTATGTGTTTTCACCTACACAATGAAATGACTAAAACACAGTTGTCCAGATCATCTGAAAGTAACAGAAGAATGACCGAATGTCTTGAGTGATGTAATATGCCCAGTGCTTCAGCTTTGAAATGGCTCAGAGTGAACAGTCAAGCAGTTATGGACATACTGCCATCTAGTGGTTTCTCAAGAAACATCATTACTTCCAAGTGGAATTCTGCTTAATGGCCCGGTTTCACAGACAGAGTTTAGGTTAAACCAGGATTAGGCCATAGTTCAATTAGAACATTTAAGTAATTTTTAGAAATATGCCTTAGATAAAAACATTAATAGTGTGCATCTTGAGACAAAACAATGAATCTGACATATTTTAAGATCAGTCAGTGCAAGTTTCTTTCAGTTAAAACAGCTCAGACATGCATTTTAGTCTGGGACTAGGTTTAAGCCTTGTCTATGAAACCGGAGGAATATGTTCTTGATGTCCTGAGTGAGTCTGTATGTTCACAGGAAACCAATATGGGCAATGATCAAGTGTATACCGATATAATATTAATTAATTTACTATGTTTTTCTTAATTGTTTTGTCCCTGTTTTTACAGCTTACAGAATTCATGTCAACCAGAGTACTGTTGATGTCCTGAACAGCCTCAAACTTGGCTACAAAATAGATGGTAGGGGCAGGACAGAGCTCAAGGTATGCAAACACACACACACACAGACACTGATAGGTGTTTCTTCAGTTCAGTCACTTTTATGACTGTATATGCACAACTATGGTCAAAACGGATGTAAAATAATCCAATATTATGCTGTGTGATTCTGTCCCAAAGTTCTGGTATAATTTCCAGAACAGACAATGTTGTCCCTATTATGTTTTTATCAAACGTTGAACTTGTTTATCAAGAAGATAACAGTATCAGCGAAGACCACATTTTTAAAAAATAATTTTTTTTTGGCATTTTCGCCTTTACTACAATATGACAGATCAGAACTGACAGGAAGCGAAGTGGGAGAGAGATAGGGGGCAGGATCGGGAAAGGTCCTTTAGTCGGGATTCGAACTCGGGATGCCCGTAGCACAACAGCGCTGCCCACAAAGCTATCAGTGCCGATGAAGACCTCACCTGAGCTGAAACATGAGACATGTTGTGTGAAGAAAAAAATCCAGGCAAATGCCTTTTGAATGCTATAGCTATAAAATTAACAGAAGGAGAGACGACAACTTTATTCCCAAAAATGTTTAAAAGTTTCATGTTCTAAATTTCCATGGCCATCATTTTCACCACAAAATGTTATTAAACACAATAATGGAAATTACACTATGGTAGAAAGGTTCAGGATAGTCAGGGAAAAAAATGAAAAAAATAACAGAATTCTTCATTGTTGCACATATGTCCACCCTTAGGCATGGCTGGCCAACAAATTAAACAAAATAGTGTGAGGTGGAAAATGTTTACAGAAAGGTTATGTTTTAACATTTGCCAAGAAACCTCCTGCGATCACACATGACACTAAATGCCTCTTAAATGTCCTGAAACCTGTCAGATGAGTGCCTGTCATTCTCTATCAGGGTAAAGGTGTAGAGGAAACATACTGGTTGGTTGGGAGAGATGGATTCAACAAGCCGCTACCTGTACCGCCAGACCTTACTCCTGGGTAAGAAAGAAACCAGTTCTATATGTATGTACTTTTTAGGATGATGTCTATCATGTAGGGAGTTGTTAACTTTGTTTATGTTAAAATGAAGGGCGAGCAACCACGGTATCAACTTGGATGAGATTCCGATGGACAGGCGGCAGAAATTCCTGGATCGACAGAAGAAGATGGGGAATTGAGGTAGAGACATTTCAGTTACTTCAGTCATATTTTACTTAATTCTTTGTTTTAGTTGATTTCAATTTTCTACTTAATGATTCAAAGAAAGAATTTACAGTTCACTGAAGTTCACTAATGTAGTTGCTGTTGCATCCTACATGTCATGTAAGAGCAACTTGAAAGGATAGTTCGTTTACTCATTTACGGCTTACGCTTTTTTTCCCCTCTGTGGGACATAAAAAAAAATATTTTGAAAAGTCAGTGGGGCCCAGTGTTGCTTTGGACTCCACTGAATATCTTTTGTGTTCTACAGAAGAAAGAAAATAAAACAGGCTTGGAAAGACATAAATGGTGACAGAATTTATATCTTAATTTTTGTGTAAAATATCCCTTTAAGCCATGTAACTTAAACTTCTGTACTCATGCTGTTTTGTTTCTGTGCCTTCCAATAGGTTGTGATGCTCATGTTTCCGCACCAGCCTATCAAATTTAGGAAAAAGTGGGGCAAGGGGATGAAAGGGGTGGACTGAGGTGTTCACCCCCTCGACTACCCTTTTCTACTTGACTCATTCCTAAAAAGAGTGGAAACGCTCACAGGGACATCTGACAAGAAGCAAAAACACTTGAACTGCCATTGAATGCCAGTCCATCAAAACCATCAGCTCAACAAGATGGCACGTACCAGCTGCTTTGGATGGTCATAGAGGACTTTTTAAAAACTGTATAGAGTTTATATTGCAGTTCATCCAATACCAAATTAAAGATACTGCTGAGATAACAGTTCATCAAGATGAGAAAATGAGAACAGCAGCACACACCTCATTCATCTCTGCAGTTATGCGATCGCTCCAGTTAATCCACTGCTGCAAAGAGATTTTTTTTCTTTATTTCATCGTTTTTAAAACAAAAACAACAAAGTGATGGCGCTTGTTTATAATGGCACCTGACAATTTAGTTATAATTCAGTGGAAATAACACCAATAATATCCATGTATTGAAATTATTTAAAATACCGTGGTGATTTTATTTGCTAGGAATATCAGGCTTTAAAAACTAGGTGTTAGTTCAAAAAATAACTTCTTCACATTTTCTTTTTGAAAATGCTTGCATTCAGTTTAATTTCATGTGGTACTGTTTGGCCTTTCTAGAGAGTGAAAAGCATTCAGAGCAGTTTTCACGGCCAAGCAAACACCTTTCAAGTTCAAGGTTATATGGTAGACAATTATTTGGTCTCATTAGCTCCATTGTCCTCTTTGAGTTAAGAAAAGAGATACATTAAAAAGGAAACTCGTGAGCTGAGACTCAAATTGTCATGTTTATAATATCATGGCACCTGATCCTGATATTCAACACATTCCATGCATAATATTCTGATGTCAAACCCTGCTTCAAATTCCTGACATGCAGTCTATTATTACCAAAGAGAAAACATGAGATTTATCTTCAGCACTACTTTGCCTGCTCATACACTCAGTAAATGTATGTGCTCCCTAAAAGGGGCATTATGCTTCATGACAGAGGGAATTTTAAACGTGTGGTCTGGATATCGTCATTAAGATAGGAGGGTTCTGGCGCCTGTGGCTCTCCAGGATTACGTTTCTGTCACCTGATACCTAAACCACAATCTAGGGAGCTACAGTCACAGCAGGATGTAGCTGAATTTCAATTGCAATCTTACCATTTTATCTCGTTGTCTGTGTAATTGTGTAAATAAAAGCTGGTTTTAGTGAGTGTGTAGATTCTTTCTTAGTAGTTAGCCTAGTGCAGGGGTAGCCAAGTTCGGTCCTAGAGAGCCGCAGTCCTGCAGAGTTCAGCTCCAACCCTAATCAAACACACCTGAACAAGCTAATCAATGTCTTCAGGATTACTAAGGCTATAGGCAGGTGAGTTTTGTTTTCAGGGTTGGAGCTGAACTCTGCAGGACTACGGCTCTCTAGGACTGAACTTGCCTACCCCTGGCCTAGTGCATACATGTGCTTATTTAGCTCCATAAGTAAGTGAACACAGAGTAGGCTACCCTTCCTAGAAATATGACATTTAAATTACACAAGTAGCTGAAATACCGCACCACTGCTGGAACTTAAAAACTGTTAAAAAAATAATTTTATCAACAGCAAGAAGGTCATAGGATTTTGTCAGCCATCATATCTTTAATTTCAAATAACATGTCAACACAAAATCTTCTTCTAGCACATCGAAGTAACAAATATAAAGTACAAACATAGATGTTTCTCGTACACTGAGCAAGAGTTACAGGTAAGGGGCAAAATAATGTCAAGAGACAAAAGATCCTAGTGTTAATTCTGACTAGATGGATTATTATTAGGCTATTATTTTGAACATTTAAACGAGTTCCGTGTGATTTTAAAAGAAGGAAAGACATCTCTGTTTTGCGTGCATATGTCAGGGCTAATATGACTGATTGATAAAGACGCGCGGAGAATTGGGTGTCAACTCGCGCTCGGGTGACTCGAGTAAACGGAGTCTGAGTTGAATTATAATTCGCCAAGAACTAGGACATGGTGGCTCCGCCCACTTATCAAACATCTGCTCGTTGATTGGACAAAGATACGCGAGTGAGGCGGAGTCTATGTGTGTCATGAAGCGTGACCAAACTATGATTGGCTTTCGTCTCCCTCCATCAGAATCCGAATAGCGGCTCCTAGAGCCAAACCACAGTTTACACATTAAGAAACTGTTTCTGGTACTAAGGCAGGATAAACAATATCGTGCCCTCCTGGTCACTGTTTTCAAGCTGAAGAAGTTTAAATGGTCCTTCAAGAAAGCAAACCAGCGAGAAATAATTTCCTTATGTTTAATTTTAAATCATGTGTAGATGATAAAGCTCTTTCTTTGAAATAAGACGAACACAATTCCGATTAAATCGACGGAGAACTCACTTGACATGCATTTCACGGACCTCCACGGACTACTACGATAACATAAGGTAAACCTCTGGAAACATGAAACGTGTAGCCTAAATTATATCTGATACGTTCAAATATTGAATCAAACCTGACATTTGTTCATATCTGAATTATTGTCGTCATCTCGTATGACTTAATGCAGGTTTGTAATAACAGTTGTCTGAATGTGCTTGGTATTTTCTACTGTGCTATCCATGACAGGTGTAATATTTGGCGGGGGGCTACGTGGCTTAAATAGGAAGTCAAATGAATATGTTTATCGACAGGCGCATCTTTCTGTATTAGCTCGTTGTGCCAGCACGCGCACATTTGTCGCTGGCTCGCGCACTGTTCTGCTGTCACGCGCGTGTGAATGCTCTGTTTGTCTACATGTTGCGAGGGCCCATCTAACCGCTTGGCAGCGCCTGGTCTCTGTGCGAACCGCCGCTCTTCCCCAACCCCCGTTGGTTGCACTGCTCAGGCAACGAGGGCGGGGCCAGCCCATATAAATGTGGGGAGGGAAATAACGAAGACAACAAACCTTAAAAATGTAGGCCACGGCGCGTGACCCAGTTCCTCATGAACAACACAGCGAGTGTGAATGTGGAGCACGGTTATTATCCCCCACGCCCGGCACGGTTCCAGGGCGGTTCTACAGTGTGTTTTCTCTCTGTGCCAGGCAATGTTCGTTGGCTTTTAGAAATGTTGCTACATTTACTCAATTTGCTATTTAAAATAGCAACAAGGTATCAAAAGTATTTGTATGTCACGACTAGTTACTGTTTTGACACATAACATGTATAGTAAGTCAGTAAAACTGTTATATATTGTTATACTGTTATTATACACACACACACACACACACACACACACATATATATATATATATATAATTAACATTATTTTATATACATAATTATTTTTGTCTGAAACCTACAATCAGCCCTTCAGTCCCTCTACTGACCACAGCCCTCAAAAAACAGAACATATTTATTTCACAACTAAGCACAGCATGAGCTTTTTCACTCAGTAGGTTCAACTGAGATGTTAATCTTTTCTTGTAATATAAGAGAAATGTTGTTTATGTTTTTACTATAGATAATGCTTGGGTGTGGTTGTGAGATACTGGTGCTAGATCAGAAAGAAAAAAAAAGATTCTTCCATTTACGTATAGCCTGTGGGCTGGCCAGGTGGTAAACCACATCTCTTCACCTGTTGATTACACATGGGGAGTGAACCAGTGTCAATTTCAGTAGGTGTGTGTTGTGATCTGAAGTCAGGGTGGGCTGGGCTGCTCCTAGGCTTTTGTGTGGCAGTATTGGGTGTTCTTGGTTTTGACCACAGTGAATACAGAAAGAGAAGATTGTAGTGTTGTGTGTGTGTGTGTGTGTGTGTGTGTGTGTGTGACAGATATTTTGTTTTGGGCCCCCTGGAGAAGGCGATCAGTCTGAAGCTGACCTACTTTTCTCTTTTACTCCATACCTGCAGAGCTATTTATACCCATGGCACAGGGCTACAGGAGCAACTCAGACCATCTCTCCCCTCACAAACACACACATAGACACTTTCTCTATAGTGCTCACACACTTATGTGTACACATCTCCTGCCATCTCTGAGTTTTTTTTTTTATCTGGTTGTTATCATTTTCCCAGCCTGGCCTGTGGAGAGCAAACCCACCCATCCATCCACCCACCCACACAGTGTGAAATCTACACCCCCTCAAGGAGAGCAGTGAGGGTGAGTTGTATTCTTTTAAAGGGTCTAGTCCCAGTATGCATGTAGAAGCCTCTTTCATATATCAAGGCATGAATGCCTAATGAATGCCTTTTTATATTTAATCTATGTAATAAAGATCAACCCACATCTGTAATTATTTGTTTGTCCCAGAATTTCTAGAGACTGAATTACAGTTTAGTTGAACCAAAACTGGGTTATTTATCACAAAAGAAAAAGTTGTTGATTCTTGCTGATTTGCGTGAACAAATATGCTTCAGAAGAGTATTCTGGGTTGAATATAAGTTAAGCTCAATCAACAGCACTTGTGCCATAATATTTATTACCAGAAAATAATAATTATTATTTACTTCTGCTTGGAAAAATTTTGCAGGCGCAATCCACCATGAGAAAACTACTTGGTTTGAAAGTGACTTCTTTGTTGGCAATAGACAATGGACCTTCTATCACTCAAATTTTGCTAATGTGACCGCACCTTTTTTTGCCATAAATGCTAAATCCGGAATATTCATTAGACACTAATCACAATCCAAACTGGTCCTGATTTACAGAACTGATTAGGATACTTAATATTATTCATAAGCTCATCACATTTTATATCTCTTCATAGTCACAGAAGAGGAAAGCACCATTGTGCAGTCAGAGGGATGGAGGACAGGAGGCACCTGCCACCAGATGGAGGTGGCAATGCCAAACGCTCTGCCTCAGCCGATTGTAACACAGAGGATAGAGCAGTCAGGAAGGAGCAGGGTGACCCTGAGACCTCCACACAAATGTGTGTGAGAAAAGACGATCTCTGTGATGTTCCTCGCAAGGTGCCTCGTTTCCAGTATGTGGATTTCCCTTCCCTGCACCAGTGCATCCAACAGCTTTCTGTGCCTCCGCTGAACGGCTGGCTGGGATCCTGCTCATTGGCAAAGGCACCAAAGTACAGGCCTGCCAGTCCTAAGGAAAAGGTGCCCAAGTTTAAATACGTGGACTACCCATCTCTCCACCACTGCATTCAGCAGCTGTCTGTGCCTCCATTGGAAAGCTGGAGTGCAGGGCTGGTCAGGTTTAATGTAGACGGGAAACAGGACGGCTCTGGGTCACAGAAGAGGCCCTCTCAACCTGGGACTGTGAAGAATAACATAAGCAATGAGGCAGGAGATCAAAACAGCGAGGACAGGAGTAGAGTTATATCATTTTCTTTCCCAAGAGACACACACAACTCAGTCTCAGGCAAGGAGGAGAGGCCTCAACACGACTACACCTCAGAGGTGCCACAGAGGTTAGAGAAAGATAGCGCACCTCTAAGGTCTCGTGCTACTAAACCAGATGCTACTTTTCAATCAAATTGCAGATCAAGAGCAGAATCTTGTTCTGGCTCTCGTAGCGATGCAGCAGTGGTGAGAAACGAAAGACCGTCGGTTATTAACATGGTGCACACGGATAAGCAGAAGCACTGGACAATGGCAGATCACCTGGAATTTAACTCTCCAGCTTCAGTCGGACGGGTACCATGGAAAACCATCCCGGAGTCAGTCTGCCCATTCTGCCAACAGATGTTCACAAACCCCGAGCAGTTCAGGGCTCATCAGCGGAGCCATAGAGATAAGGTGACTAGTGCTGCTAACTGTTCAATAAACCAACTTTTATAGGCAATGAACACATTCTCACTTACACAACTATGTTCTCTCTGCGTTTACACTTGGCATTAACATGCGAGCTGTATCCGAATGTTGTCCACATACACATTGAAAAGACAAGTGTAAACGCGCTTCTGATCGGAATATTATCCGATCAGCGTGTCCTGGTCCAGAGGTAGTCGAGGACGCATTGTGATGTAACGTGTAATGTAAACGCAATCTAGCCATCGTGTCTGCATTCACAGGTCGACATCACGCAAAATGCCGCCCCCTCTCTCCCGAGCTGTCGGAAGAACAGAGCGCTAGTGAGACTCATACATTTATTTTGATTTATAAAATGTCCCGCCACTGAAAATTGTTTTCAAAAGAAAACCCACCACTTCAGGTCGACTTTGCACCGCAGACTTATTTAAATATTGCGAGGGAAATACAGATCCAATCGGTTATCCAGATCAAGAAGTCAGCTGATGTTGCCAAGTGTAAACGCGCTGTGTCCTGATTGACTGATGATCCGATTTGCTTGATCAGATCAAGGTGATCGCATGTTAATGTCAAGTGGAAACGCAGCCTATGTAACCTACAGGGATAATTCACACAAAATGACAATTCTGTCATCATTTACTCACCTTGTAGTTATTTCAAACCTGTATGAATTTCTTCCTTCCGTGAACATGAAAGAAAATATTTTGAAGAATGATTTGTTGAAGAAACTACATTTCTGGTCCCCTTTCCATAGTATTGTTTTTAATGGGGACCAACAACCGTTTAATCACTAACATTCTTCAAAATATCTTCTCTTGTGTTTAACAAGAGAAAGACGTTCATACTGGTTTGGAACAACTTGAGTGAGTAAATGATACTTTACCTTTTTTAGCTCCTTTTTAAGTAATTTGTTACAAATTGTGATCACAACTGTATTTTTCTGCATACAGCATCCTTATTAACAATCACAATGTCTTCTTGTCTTCACAGAGACCAAACTGATGTGCAGAAGTACTGAGTGAGAACTGCTTTTGGCAAACAGTTAATGCCACATCATATGGAATCGTATCATCAGAGGCCTTCTTGTGTTGTGACTGGCTATAGTGGCATTGCTGGCAGGACTATAGGGAGATCAAAGACACATTAAGCACATTAGAGAGTTTGGGTTCAGACCTTAGGGAGAATGCAAGACTTTGTCTTGACTGATGTTGTGAAGTCTAAAAAGGCAGAACTGGACAGACAGAAACACACAAGCATACAATATGCATGCACATACAGTGTACTTGTGAGAGTGCCAACACACACACACACACACACAGAGTATCCTATTCATGATTCAGAAGAGGTCATTATTTACTGCCCCACATAAGGACCATCAGACATAATGACTTTTCGGCTAAAGACAGGGGATTAGAACCAGATTTATAGTCTCCTCCACACATATGCGTGTTTACAGGGGTGGGTAAAGCTCGATGGACTGGTGCGTAAGAAGATTAATTTGATTACATATGTGTTCCCCACACTGTGTGCATGGTGGCAGGTTAAATATTTAGCTTTGGGTGCCAAATAATAATTTGGTAAATAAATACCAAATAATGGCTATTGTTAATGCTGCACAAACAAACAGGCTTGATAATAATGATTTGTTACATTAGCTTTTTATCGTTTTGTACTTTTTATGTTTTTGGAAATTAATGTCTAGTGGCTTCTAGCTAGTAGCTTTAAATCTTAAAAATGTACCGCTTGTTTTCAAGTGTTTAACTGTGTAAGTAAAGATTTTTTCATACAGAAACAAATGTTCGACTTTTCAGTACAGGAATGCCCTCTGCAAAAAAACCCTGTTTGACATAGATGAAGTATTTAAGCTTTATATAAACAAAGGAGCTAATCCAAAATGAACAACTACAATGACAAAACTCGCTATTTACATTTTAACCTCATGTCTAAATGGATTTTAGATATTGTGAAAGACCTATATTGAACTTTTGTTTATAAACTTTTGCAGGAACATTTTTTATTACAGTAAAGTTCTGACCAGCTATTATGTATAGGCCTACATAACTTATAGCAAAGGTCAAGCATTTCATATTTGATCCGATTTTAAAGTTAGAGAGAAACAGAAACACTAATTGTTTCTTTTATGAAACTCGCAGACAGTTTACACAACCAAATTTCAATATATTTTTTACAATGGAATATTATGGATTTTATTATGGACTGTATATTTTAATTCACAAATACACAAAAGATTTCAAATCACTAAAAGTTTAATTATCATGTCATGAATCTCCAGGACTTTCCAGAGCTCAGCTGTGGGTTTTCCTGTAAGCAAATACTATTGCACTTTCATTCCCACGTAAAACGTAATGAGTTTAACTTACTTGGAAAACCTGTGGAAACTGATTGCCTCAAATTTCTCAAGCAAACTAGTTTATAATTTTTGAGTTAATAAAACTTACTGTAACTTTGTATAGGTAACTTGTGTATATGTATAGGTTACCAGAAAACTTGAGTGTTGCTAACTCAATTTGACAAGTTCAGCCAACTTAGAGAAAGTGTTTAAGTTAGTGCACAGAACGCAAACAAAACAGTTCTCTTAACAAGTCTGCTTTGTTCACATTACTAGACAAATGTGTGGAAACTGATTGCCTTAAATTTCTCAAGTAAGCTGTACTCAAAACTTGAAGTTGTTAATACAAAGACAGAAAACAGATTGTTAGCACAACAATAGGGCATTTATTTGTTTAAAACAATGTTACTTCAAGTCATTACTTTTTAGGCATGCTATCAAATCAACAATTTAACAGTAAGAAAAATTGCACATACTGCACTCAGGAAAAAAATTGAAAAAAGAAAAACATTAACATCCCTTTTATGACACCTTGTAAATCTAGATTTACCATTTTCTAGAATTACCTTTTTCTAAATCAATAATGGTCAATCATGAACAATTACACTGAAAAATGCTCCATCACGCCACAATGACATCTTTCTACAACAGAAGATTTTTCAGAGATTGCATTCTAGGTTCAGCCATTGAATGAAATCAAAGGCGTCCTTCAGTACTGGAGGATACTATAATTTCATAGCATAAATCCAAGTCCAAAGAGCAGGCATAT